TGTTTACTAAGCTGAGGAAGGATGTGCTTTATCTTGTATTTATTTGTTTTATTTAGGCTGATTATTATTTCTTTAACATAGATTCCCAGAAATTGAATTACAGTCCTTAGGAAAGGGTGTAGGGCCCTTGATAATAGGGTCAATTTGCTTTCAAAACAATGGTTGCAGTATACTCTTTGTCCAGCGCTCACGAGTATGTGCTTTTTTACTTCATTCTTAAGACATTAAATATTCTTATTTAAGAGAAAGGTTTGCTAATGTACTATACGAAAATGGTGTTTCACTTGATGGTAACTGCTTATGAGTATGATGCATGTATTTCCATGTATTTGTATATTGTTGGCCTTTGTTAATTCTTTCACCCCTTCTTTAGTTTTCCAATATCTTGTGCCCCATACTGCTAATTTCCAGTGCTTATCCTTATTCTCTTCTGCTCACTTTTCCTCCCTTCAAAGTTATTTTTGTAACTCTTTTTTGTCTGGTGTCCAGTAACTTGTGGGGCTGTGGGACCCAAGTTGCATTTTAAAATCATTTTTATGAGTCGTTCTCAGCAGGCATCTTCAAGGCCCCAAGTTCTTTTTTTTGTCCCCCACTGTGAAATACTGATTGGCAGCTGGTGATGGGCAGGGCATGGGTGCTTGGCACTCACAGGAAGCCCTGCGGGAGGTGCCCAGAGCCATGGCGGATGAAGTGTGGCCAAGCCAGCACAAGGTGGGGGACCAGATGTCACCCGATTATGTTCCATTGAAATCCAAACAAAGCCCCAGTTTCAGGATCATTTCCTTGAGACTCCCCAGTCGGAAACTGGCACCAATCCAGTATCTCACAACAGCTGGTCTCCCCATGCCAGGATTTATGTGCCTTGCAGAAAACTTCACCTGTGTGTTATTGATTGGTTTCCGTAAAGCAATCAAACAATATTTTGAAGACCCAAAGCATGCTGCTCTCTGCTGAAAATAAAAAGAGACCATATATCACTGAACACGCCAGCAGTCTTATTACAGGCTTGGGAACTCTGAGAAGGATGCATTTCCTTTTTATTTATGCCACCCATGTTAACCTTGAGACTGTGTCTTGGCACTTGCAGCTTCACAGTGACAACACTCCACTCTTGTTAGGAGACCAAGCCCACCCGTTGGAAATAAATTATATTATAAAATAAGCTTTCAAGGGACCCAGCAGATGAGAAATCATGCTTATGTTTCTCATCATCCAGTTCACGTTGGAAAATCCAAGAGTCTTTCCAAAATCTCATTACTCGTTATCGTCCAGGTCGTTTGCATGCATGCCTTTCCCCTTTCCTCCTCCGAAGGAAGGTGAACTGTAAGCCTGGTGGTTTCATTTTCTGAATAACAAAGAGGAAAAACAAAACTAACAAACAAAACCACCCCACCCCAGCCCCAAAGATACTGTAGTGGGTTATGCCGAGCTACAGGGAAAGTTTTAATTTTAAAACAAAAACAAGCATTTTTAAGAAAATAATGAGTGGTGAAAGCACTTTTGATAATATTTGGCTACATATGTATTCCCAAAGCAAATCCGTGAACTGTATCTTAAGCATTGTCTTTATAACTGGCGGTGCCTGCTGTTTCAATCACCTGATAATCTCGGTGTCTCTCATTTTCTCTCTGTCGCCCCCTCTCTTCCTCTGTCTAGCTGCCTGGCTGTCCTCAACCCAGATTCTCAGACCTCACAGTGAGATTTTGGAGCTAACCCTCCGCATTAGAAACAAACAAAATAAATTGTTTCCATACCCCCGGAAGGAATGCGCTAAAGCCTTTTTCCTCTTTAACGTGGAGGTAATTTAAGTTTGGCAAGAGCAAAACACAATATATCTCACTCGGAGGAGAAAGATTTCTGAGTAAGACCCTGATAGAAAGAACTCATCCTTCCCGTGAACTTAAAAATGACAAAAAGTAACCCGGTCATGCTTCAGCATCCACAGTGTTTCTGCAGAATCCTCACCTGTTCCCTCATTCCACAAAAATGCACTAAGCACCTACTGTCTGAAAACCCTGTGTGCACGCTGCTTCCCGGCTGTCCCTGCAAGGCTGCACGGTAAGGCCTTTCGGGGTGCATTCATTTGCTAAATCTCTAGCCCTTACCATGCCAGGGGCATCTGAATATCATTCAGTGACATTTCTCTTCATTACTCTGATTTAGAATCCTGCTTGTGTATAATGTTCCATAGATGATGAGTTAAAGTGAAATAAGATTAAGAATGTGGCCCGTTCACTGCAGGTATGAAATGGAAATCACCTGAGATGATCTGTCAGGAATTAATTAAGGATACTGTATTGTGTACTTGAAATTTGCTATGATGGTAGACCTTAAGTGCTCTCAAGACCGCACTCACACACACACACACACACACACACACACACACACACACACACACACACACAGCTATCTATGTGAGGTGATGGTATGTTAATTAGCTTGATTGTGGTGATCATTTCACAATGTACATATATATCAAAATGTCAAATTGTACACCATAAACATATGCAATTTCTATTTGTCAATTATACCCCAATAAAGCTGGGGAGAAAAAGAATTGACCAAGGACAATAATATGACCACGAGCCAGCTTAAGCAGAGCCTGAAGAACTTGACCTTAAAGAGTATGTACGTGAATCAGAAAAGTGACCAGACCCTTGTCAACATCCTGCCTCTCTCTTCTTCCCCTCCCTTTCCGATTTTTCATCTATGTTTGTAAAACATCTCCTGCTCAAAGAGGTGAAGGATTCCAGCATTTTTGTTCAAACTCTGGAAGCTATGTTTCTTCCCCGAGACTGAAGCAGTCGACACTGAGGGTCAGATACTCGTGAGTTGAGACCAGAAGGAAGGGTCCTCCAAGGCCACACTGGAGAAGGGCTTGTCTCCCCTTAACCATAAGGATACCTGCTATTCTTAATGCACCCTCGCTTTCCTAGTCATCCTTTACTCATTGATCATATTCACATGTTAAAAAAAACTTTATTGATTGAATTTATACTTTTAATTTGTTCCACTTTTATTACCCACAAACTGCCTGTCCTCATATTAGCACAGCACATGGCTTTTTTAAAAAATAAAAAACTCACTTTATTCCTAGCCCCAGCATTCCAGGAACTGGCTGTTATATCTAGTTCATATAGTCCATAATGCGCCTTGTGTTATACCTTTTGAACAATCTTTCTCCTATCCTTTTCCCTTCATCCTTTCTGATTCTTGAAGCTGAAAAAATCCTCAGGGCCCCTCAGCCTTGACCTCCTTCTGCTTCCTTCTTGTTAATTAGCTTGATTTTTCACAATGTACACATATATCAAAGCATCAAGTTGTATACCTTAAATATATACAACTTCTGTCCATCAAGGATACCCCAGTGTTACAATGATATAACGCTATAATTTGTAGGATGGGGTCCCAGATATCTTGGATTCATGACTATCAAAGCAAGAAGAGTACGGGATCAGGGAGATAGGCTGCTCAGAGCAAGGGGTGGACTTGAAGACAGGAGCTGATGAACAGTCCCAGAAGGTCCAGTCTGCATTAACAAGGAAGGCTCGTGGTGACGTAAATTTCACTCATGGCCTCATACACTGGGGATTTTTCTGTTTACTGAAGACAGTTGCAGAATGGGGACTTGATTCCCAGGGGTCAACAAAAGTAGGTATGGGGAAGGGTCCACAGCTGTGCTTAAACTTTAAAAAAAAAAAAAATGGTGTATCTTTACCCATGATTAGGCTGGAGAGGCTAATGAAAATTTCAGATTTCTTTGATTTGGCTGAAACCTGTGAGCACAGTATTGTAATACTGTTGATCTTATACTGACCCAAAGCTGGCCAAAATATGTAGCTTTTATTAATTATATTAAAATAGTGAGGATTATGACTTGATATATATAGTTTGGCAAATAAAGTCATTTAAAGTATTGGTCTGTGGGTGAAAATAACAAAACATATGGCCATAAGGAGAAAAAAAATCAGAGGTTGGTTGTGTCTTCTAGATGTGGAGCCCAAAGCCTGCTTCTCCCTCCAGCCACCCCTCCCAAAGGCACTGTCTCGCAGGGGAGTATGTGCCTGATGTCTTCGGTATGACTGGCATTGTTCCTTGAGCCTCAAATCCACAGTGACCACAACTAGACGGTCTAGCATGTGCCTTATTCAGCCACGCAAGGTGTTGCGTAGCTACAAAGTGAGAACAAGTTTTAAAGAGCATGAAGTGACAACTATGCCCTGGCTAATGAGAAACCCAGTTACATATCAAGGAGGCTTATGACCATATATAAAACACAGTAGCTGACTTTATAGCACCCAAATTAGGTGGTCCTGAGGAATTTACCACGCGCTAACCAGTTTCTTATTTTGTAAAAGCACAAAGTCCCCATAAATGACCATGTGAGCAAATTCATAGCCCTGTGGTGCAACTGCGAATTGTCAGAATCCTTTCATTGTAGATTATCCCATCTATGGATTTAACAAGCAGAGGTTCAGAGTGGCTGTGTCACTGGTGTGGTGTTAACCATGTGTGGTGGGACCGAAGGACTTACTTCCCTAGCAGCTGAGAGTGCTGCAGCTTCAGCCCTCAGCTCTAAGCCCTCCCTGGAACCACCGTCATCTGAAAAGAGCCTTTCTAATGGTCAGGCCCCCTTCCCTCTGGAAGCCTACACCCCATAACAGGTACATGCTGGGGTATGAAGACCTGGCCCACTTACCCAATTTGGGCAACTGCGCAGGGCCATCCCAGCCTCACAGCTCCTGGTGGGGTAGGTTCAGGTTTTTGTTGAGGTTGCATCACAAGCCACATCTTCATTTGCTGGGTCGCACTTTCCCTCTGACAGGTGTTGATCCTCAGAACACTCCGTAATAAACTTCTGAGTGCTAATTTCCATCTCAGAGTCTGCTTCACAGGGAACCTGGCCTGCAACAGTGTGGCAGTCTGGGAGGCTTGGGTCAAGGGTGATGTAAGTTAGAAATATAATACTGTACTTTAAATAGCAAGCATGAGAACGACTCATGAAAAAGGCAATATCAACTATTGACAAGGATGCAGAACTAGCAGAACTCTCATATACTGCTGATGGGCAGGTAAATTGGCACACTCACTTTGGAAAGTTCTTTGACATTATCTGCTAAAGCTAACTGTGTAGGATCATGTCCTCAGTATATGCCCAAGAAAAATTGCAAACGTGCTCACCAAAAGAAGAATGCACAAGAATGGCATAGCTGCACTCTCCCTAAATGCAAACTGGAAAGAACGTCAATGTCATCAGCAGTAGAGTGGATGAATAAATTGTGTCATAGTCACACACTGGGAATGAAACCTGCAGCTCCACATAACAACACAGACGAATCTCACAAATGTAATATTGAACAAAAGCCACCAGACATAAAAGAATACATACTGTACAATTTCATTTGTATAATTTTTAAAATCAGACAAAACTGATGTATGGTGTTTGAAGTCAGAATAATGGTTACATTTGGGGGAACTAGTTTTATTGAGAAAGGGTCTGAGGGAGTGTTCTGGGGGACTTGTAATGCTTCTTGACCCAGGGGCTGGTTACAAGAGTGAGTTCACTGTGTTAACATTCACTGATCTTCTAGACACTTACTATTTGTGCACTTTTCTGTGTATAGGTCGTACTTAAACTGAAAGTTTACGCAGTGAGGAAACAGGGAAGGAAGGTCAGATGTAAACACTGGATACAGAAATGTATCATCATGGATGGAGATGCAAATTTCTGAGACATGAACAGTACTCTTATCTGTAATGATGAGGAGCGTAGGGTCCAGAAGAGCTCCAGGTGGCTGCAAGTTACATAGCCAGCTAATGGGAAGGTCTTCCTGGCTCCATCCTCTCCCCACCTCCCCACAGTGAGCAGAGCCTGTGAAATCACTAGAATGCCCATTCATCTTGGCTCAATGTTGACCACACAGTCATCAGGGCAGCCTAAGCAAGGCATGGAGTGTACAAGGAGATGCAGTTTGAACAAAGACCTGGAAGGGGCACAGGAACTTAATGTACTATACTGGTAACAAAGCTATCCATTTCTTAGACGTCTTCCTTCACCTATTACCTATATCGCTTCCCACCCACACTTCTATATCCATCAATATTGCTTTATGTTGAGAATGTGCCATTTTCCATTTGCACAGCCAAAGGCTGCAGAGAAAAAGTCTTGAGGTATGAGCTAAATTGCCTCTTTCTCCTTTGACTGTCCCCTGCAATCTTTGGGAGAATATTTGACTACAGTAGTCCCCCTTATTGACAGGGGACATATTCTAAGACTCCCAGTGGATGCCTGAAACAGCAGATAATACCAAACCCTATGTACTCATATACTTTGTTTTTTCCTATACATGCATAACAATCATAAAGTTTAATTTATAAACTAGGCACAGTAAGAGATTAAGAATAACTAATAATAAAATAGAACAATTATAGTAATATACTGTAACAAACGAATGCAGTTTCTGTCTGTCTCCCTCTTTCTCAAAATATCTTATGGTACTGTACCTCGGGTATCTGAAACTATAGAAAAGGAAACCACAAATAAGGGTTTAAACTGTTTAAAATGGTGCTTTTTTTCTGTAAGAGTTTTAATTTAGTTTAATAGGTGTTACAGATGACCTTGAAGATTAAAAGTGAAATTTTCTCCGTTTCTTAAGTATGTTAGCATTTGTGTGTGCCCACATGGGTGTGTGTGCTCATGGGTGTGTGCTTGCATGTGTGCGTATGGATGTGTGTGTGTTTACGTGTTTGCATGCATCTATATGCATGAATGTGTACATGTGCATATACGTGCATGTGTGTGTGCATGAGCATGTGCTTGCATGTGTGTCTATGTGTGTGTATGCACATGTCCATTCTCCATTAATATGATGCCATTTGCCATATCACTCTCTTGAGACTTATAGCTGTCTGCTTTCGATTACACTCAGTCTAGTCCAAAACCCTTCTGAACTAATGCTAATCAACTTGGAAGCCACCACATTCAAGCACAAAGCTGTCAAATGTGAGTGTTTGCAGATGTCAGTGCAAGTATGGCAGGAATCCAGGAGGACAGATCACGGCTTAGTCACTGAAAAATACATGCCAATGCATCCCAGCGCCAGAGCATCATCGAAGCCCATAAGAAAAGTGTGTCGTGACAGTAAATCAATAACCTCTTGGAAACAATTCCGTTCTGAAATGTCCCTGATTAATTATGCCAGTGCATGCTTGGCACAGTACTTTGCTCCAGCATTAACCTAATGCTTTTTGCATGAAGCAGGATTATAAATGCTTCTCATAAGTCAAATTTGACATTTCAAATCAGGCTTTAAAGGTTTGGGTTATAGATTTTATAATGTCTTCATGTCAAACGTAATTGCTCTTATTGCTGCTAGTAGATGTTTGCCAGTCAATCAAAATAACATTTATTTTATCATAAACAAGGGTAAATTAAAACCATTTGAAATCATCTTATTTGAAGACTCAGTGAAGAGGCATCTTTAGGATCATTGGAATTTGCTGCTACACTGTATAGAGAACTGTGATGAATTATAAAAGTCAATGGAAATATGTTACTATATACACTTCAAAAAATTAATGCCTCTACATGTTTCATGAATATACAGCTTTAGCTTGGTGACATTCCCATATGAATATGTTTTGGGACCAAATAGCTCCCTTCCTTTCGCTAATAGAAAATAATAATTTTTGTCCCTTAAAGACGAGTGTGTTTTTAAATTTACTTACACATTGCATTCAGGAACTTTTAAAAAATTTCCCTTAAGTCACCTGAGAAGCAAGTGAATGATATTAAAATCCTAGTTTCTTATTTTCTAAGTATTTTTTTCTAAATTTCAGAGTGCTCTTAACAATGAGTTCATTTTTCTGTAGTTGCTCCCTAAACTTGTCATTTTCTCACAATCTTTAAGAAAATATGTCAATGCTTTAAATTTTACTGACTACAGGAACACAACTAAATTTCCCTCTTCCCTTGCCTTCCACCACTGCCGTGCTGCCATCACTGCCCCTTCTCTCTCCACCTGCCCCTCAAAATGCTTTCCAAATCCTTTTAAGGAGAGTTGGCCATTGAAAAGACAAGAAAGGTAGCACAAATCTCAGAAAGAGAATGCTCCCCTGGGACAGTCACTTGGGGTTACTCCCTCTCCTTCCCCTCTACCTGTGTGAGGCCCTCAGTACCCACAGGATTTACCCTCCAACATGAGGCTAAAGACTGATCTGATATTCTGAATGTCGAAGCCATTCAACCCTCAGACCCTGGAATCTTACCACACTCAATGGTGGGTCAATGAGAGAAGGTTTCAGGTTCCTTCTCTGAAGCACAGCCATAGGATGGAGAGTTACCCGTCCATAATAGGAGATCTTCCCCCGGCTACCCCCTCAGGTCATGTCTTCCCAGGGCTGCATAGGCTGCAGAGCATCACAGGTAAAAGGGTGGGTCAGAGATCAAACTGCCCAGGTCTGAGCACAAATCCACCACCTTCCTGTTGGATAAACTTGAGTGACTTTCTTAGCTTCTTTGTGTCTCAGTTTCTGTAAAATGGAGTTGATAATGATAATAATAATAATATATACCTCAAGAGAGTATTGTGAGAATTAAGAGTTTTAATCCATGTGATGTGCTTAGTATAGTTCCTGGCATGCATTAAATAGATCTCACAAAAATAACGATTATTTGCATGTATCGTGCAAGCCACTTCTTAGGATCTCATATATGCAACCCTAGTGAAGTAAGTTTTTTCTAAGATGAGACTGCAAATTTGTATAAGCCTAATTGAAATGCATTCCTAAGAACAGCAACCCAGTGGGGGCGAGGATCCTTGTCTACTCTGTTCTGGGATATATTTTAAGTACCTGAAATCGTGACTGGCACATAGTAGGAGTACAATAAGTATTTATGTTTGTTTGTTTGACAGCTAACTGGTAAGGGGATCTGAACCCTTGACCTTGCTATTATCAGTACCACACTCCAACCAAGGGAGCTAACCAGACAGCCCATTAAGTACTTATTAAATGAATGAACAAATGAACAAACGAGCATGGGAAACTGTGTCTCAGTAAAAGCACAGGTTTTGGCGTCAGGCAGATCTGAAGTCTAATTCTGGCTGCACCATTTACAAATTCTACATTATCTTTTGACAAGTTAAAGATAGTTTCTTCACTTCCTCGTGTATAAAATGAAGGTGAAAATAACTGCTACATGAGGATTGTTGTGAGAATTAAATATGCTAATAGTGGAAAATGTCTAGTATAAACTCAGCATGTATAGGAGCTCAGTAAATGACAGCTCTTATTACCGTGCCCATCAGTTAATATGGGGAAACAACATAAAAACAGGAATGAAAAAAGTCACCTTTACATGTTTATCTGGCAAGTAGGTATTTGCCAAAGTTGCAGACTAGCTTTCTTTTTGTTCTGTTCTTTATGTTGTTTTCAGTATTCTGGTGCTTATTACAGAAAAGGAGGAAAGACGAGTAGAAAGGGGAAACTGTAGGGGAGGAGGCTGCCGAGAGGCAGGGGAGAGGCAAGAGGCTGCGGAAGAGGCCCAGAAGAAAGTCATGGAGAGTCCCCTCCTTGGTGAAAGACCAGCAGGATGGAAGAAAGGAAGGAGACAGGAGCGACTTGGCAGGTAGATCTCCCCTCTCTCTGCTCCATCCTCCATCCTGCCTCCAGCTTGATCTTTCTACTGTTAATATCCAAATTTGTCTCTCTTACCTCTGCAAACATTAAACTCCACAGATGAAGAATCTTGTCTTCCTACAGGACAAGTCTGTGTAAAAGCCCTCCATGATTTGACTTATGCCTGCCTCACCCACACAAATGTCACCCTCTGTACTCTTTCATGTCAGGCATTGGCACCAGTCTCCTGTGTGGACTGTGCTGTGTGTGTACACACTTTGTCTTTATCTTGGCCTTTTGAATGAATGAACCTCCTTTACCCTTTCTTCTGCTTGTCAACCCCTAATCATGCCTAAAAACGCAGCTCAAATGTCTCCTGCTATGTGAAGTCTTTCCTGGACCCACCAAGCAGAGCAGATCACTCCAGCCTTAGCACCCACCATCACAGATCTGC